TTTTTTACCATTTAAAACATCGCAATGTGATCGCTTTTGCGATTGCAAAAAATTTGTCGCTATGCGGATTCGTCATTAAAAGAGGCACCCGTTAAGCGAGGCACCACTGAACAGTGGAAGTATGAGCAGTAAATAAATCATTGGTTGTTTTCATCAATTCATTGCCTTCCCAACCCTGGAATGAATACCAAGAAAAGAATTATGAGTTAATCATGGGCCACACTTTATTAAACATAATCCATATTGCCATCCTTTGGCAAAGAGGGGTCCTGCCGTAGTGCGGAATCAGGTTTAAGCAGAGAGATCTCAAAGGACCCCTTAAGCAACAAATGGGTGAGTCCCTGGCCCGAAGTTCTTGTGGTCTTAAAGTCAGCAAGAACCAGGCTGGCCCCAATTTGACCATCCCTGGGCCTCAAGCCACCTTCTCTTTGTTGACTGTTGGTCCAGGTGTGGCTGCAGCACATCTTTCCCCCCAAGCACTGTAATTGCACAATCCGCAGCACGGGAAGGTCAGATGGGCTATAGCTTACCTGATTTTGCAATGGGACTCAACAACCAAACCTATTATATACGCATTACCCACCATGCATCGGGACTAGCCAAGCTAAGTTCCATGCCCGCCATTGAGCTCTCCATGATCCAACAGCAGGCCCCCCTTGATGTCTTCAAGGGAGACATCCAAACCTTGTTCAGACAGATGTACACCATCGTTCCGAAAAAACTCAGACCTATCCAAGTGGATCCTCTGGTCACTGATCCTCTGATCACCGATCCAAGGCTGCTGCAATCAGCTCTGCAGACTACCCTGCTAACACTACTTCAGGCAAAAATGTATTACATCCCTCCATGCCAGCCAAGGGATGGTCATCAGCCATCCAAAATTCTGTCTTACATTATCAAGGCAATGTACAATTCCTCCATTGGTATCAGATTGGCCTGGGAAACTCATTTGCATATGGAGGTTACAACCCCAGATTGCAACTAAGAGTGGTTCTCCTCAGCTTTGATGACTAGAGCAGTGTCCTTCAAAGAAAACCTACCCGAAGTGGTGCTTAAGTGATACCTATATCCTGTGAAGTGAGCCAAATATGTATGGGGACTTTCAAGGAAGTGCTGGAGCGACTAAAGGGGGGGGAAAGGAACAACATGACAAATGTGCATGCAATGTTGTAAAGTAGCCAGTTTTTGGAATGAAGTACAGTGGTGCCTCACTAGACAGTTACCCCGCATGACATTTTTTTGCTAGACATTGGCTTTTTGCTATCGCTATAGCAATTCGCAAAACAGTGATTCCTATAGGGGAATTTTGCTGGACAATGTTTGGTCCCTGCTTCGCAAACTGATTTTTGCTAGATGAGGATTTTGACAGCTCCCTCCATGCTTGCAAACAGATGTTTTCAGGACCTAAGCTTCAAAGACAGTGATTTAAACAACTGATTGGTGGTTCGCACAGCGGCTTTCCTATGGCCGATCTTCGCTGGACGACGATTCTTCCCCATTGGAACGCATTAAACAGGTTTCAATGCATTCCAATGGGGAAATGCTTTTCTCTAGACAATGATTTCGCTAAACAGTGATTTCAGTGGAACGGATTATCATCGTCTAGTGAGGCACCACTGTAATAGAAATTGTCTTTGATATTGCACACAAAAAAAGTTTGGAAAAGGCTTTGCTATGACTATCTATATTCATTGTCGAAAATAAAGAACGGCTTTCTTGTTCACAGCAGCAAGGTTAGAAACTGCTTTTGAATGGAAATTGGTAAGTCATCCTGATATCACCTCCTTGATCTAGCAGTTGGCCTTTCTAGACAAACTAACAAATAAATGAAGGATATTAAGAGGTGCAAATCAAAAACCTAAATTCACAGAGGTTGGGCTCCCATGTATTCAGTATGTGAATGTAGACAGAACAACGCTTAGCTCCCAGTTAACCAACTTTGTTCTTGGAAAGACACATTTTAACTGCCTGCAACTTGATTTGCTCTCCAGGCATAGAACTGGCTACTTCTGCAGTGAGAAGGGATGGCTTTCCTCAATGTTTTTTAAATACAAAAATATTTTTAAAAAGTGTTCTCAGCTGCAGTGATAATTTCAAACCTTAGTTCTTAAAAAAAATCTGTATTGTTCAACATGACATGGCTGACCCCTCCTTTACAGTTATGTACTCTAACTCCACAATACTCTTAAGAGTTCGGTTTATTAGTTGTAAGATGTTGGAAGCAACCTGCTGAGATCCCCAAGACGAAACAGTCATTCACTGTAGATTCTTTTGCTGATGCCTCTTTTCTGGACACTTTCTTGCTTTTTTCATTGATTTCCCATCTCTTTTCAATGTTATATTGGTCCAATAATAACATATTTGCATATCTCTCTGGTATGGAAACAGATTTGATGCAGGTCATTTTGCCACAGAGTTCGTTCCAGCTCTACTGTTCTAGGTAAAGGTAAAGGTTCCCCTTGACAATTTTTGTCCA